CGAGAACTAACATCTAAACATTTGCAGAACTTATCGTCACAAAAGTGCTGTCCCAGCTGTTTGTCATAGCAGTCATCATGAGCCACACAGCAGTTATTTATTGGGGCTGAAATGATGTAAATTTTTAGCAAACTTTTTGCGCCACTATTTGGCCAAATTTTTTACTTTTAGTGCAATTAGAATCGGTCGAGGATTATGATGAAAGAAGTTTCAAGCTTTTTTTTTTTTTGTTAAAGATACAACAAAACGTCGATAAAATTAAGTCTATTACTGCAAATTAGATCTTTAACTTAAATAAAAAATAAAATATGCATGCTACTTTAAACATAGGTTAACAATGTGCCTAATAGTCTTTCTCGGAAACAAGAATTTAGTACTTCCAGAACTTATTCGTATCTTTCCGTACTACAGAATAACTTCCTAGTAGTGATTCTTATGAAAATATGTTTATTAATCTAATGTAACAGTGTAACAGTGTAGTGTAACAGTTGTAGTGTAACAGTTTTATTAATCTTTGCTGTCTAGAAAGCGATCTTACCAATTAAATTTGAAGATTCTTCTGCATCTAGGGATCTGAGAAAAGTAAGCGTCACTAAGGAACAAATAAACAATCTTTGGGAAGGATGCCCTCTGTCACAACGATCTAACGGACGAAAAAACCCATTGAGTTGTTGGCCACTTTATTTCTTCCGTTCCTTCCTATTTTAAAAATGCCCAAGACAACCGAGACTTAATCTTCAGTAAAAAGCTTTTCTCGCCACTCGCTTAAATTTGCCTATCAAAAATGTGCAGGGCATTGTTCCAAACAGCGGTCAAAAACACTGTTACGAAAGCAAAGCGACTAAGTGCTTTAAAATAAGATTTGGGGATTCCAATTCTAATCATTGGCTAAATTGTAATCCTAATTATCGCGGTACCAGCAGTAATCTTAAAAGTTGAAGACGGTTGCCTTTTTCATCAGTTATTGAACGGTCAAGCAGGAGAATTCTATATAGTTTTAGTCAGGCAGAAGGAACAGGTCAAAAAAATAATAGAAAAAGGAGGTTGAAAACAAAGGAACGATTTCGATAGAATACCTAAACATTCGTTGACCTACTTTGCCATTGCAAAGTAAGTTAAAAGGCGGTCTGAAGTTAAGAAAAAATTCGGATAATTATTTGTCTGAAACCTCTGTCTGAGAACAAACCGAAGGATTAAGAGGCAGTAATTAACCTTATAGTTTCCATTACTGTTGCCAGTATTTGGGGTTCTCTATGTGGAAATCATACGATAATCTAAATTTGAGCCGTTTAGGGAATTAGCAAATGTTCCTAAATGCCTCTCAAAACTGCACAAATTTTGGGAGGCAAAAGGAAGAGTAAAGAGAAAAGGATGCATTTGTAACTGTGAAGCGCCTTAATTATGCGGAAAACTCATGGTGTTACGATGTAAGAGAACGTTTTCCTTTAAAAAAAAAATAAAATAAAGGTAAATAAAAGGGGAGAGGGGAGGGAGAAGGGGATGAAAACCGGACAAGTTTGCAAAGAAAAAATGGGGGCAAAAACTGTGGCTGCATAGAAAACCTGTTAAGAACAGCAGGCAAAAGAAAATTTGAAACTATTTTCGGTTTATTGTGACCTCACAAAAGTAGCTTGCTTTTCCAGCAAAAGTTTTCCGGGCATTTAACCTTAAACAATTTTCGTCTGATCACGGAAACTGTATACAAAGTTGCTCCAGAAATAACTTCTAAAAATTGGAGACGGATCCTTGCACTTAATCTCAGAAGACACAGTTTATCGCCTGCCACTTAGCTACAACATTTTTTAAACAGAAAAACTGTTCGCTGCTGTTTATCTCTTATGCATTTTTATCTTAACAGACTTTAAAAAAAAATAAAAGTAAAAAACCGAAACCTTTCAAATGTGGACAGGTTTGTTCGACACTAGCTTCACTCATTATTTTACTGAGGTCATCAGTACCGCATTGCCATTTAATTCCATCTTCTTCATAATCTTCAGCCGACATATCGTCATCGTACAGTGTTCTTGATACTGTGAATGAGCAAGTTTATAGTTGTATTAAACGAGCATTCAACGGTTATTTTAGAAAATAGCAAAAAGAGAAAAAGAGGAATTGAAAGATATCTCACCATCTCTGGGTATTATACGACGATCTTGCGGATCTTCGTCAGAATCATCAGCGTAACTTCTGACTGTATACGCTTGAGTGCAAATTACGCAAAGACAGATGAAAAAAAGTTCATAAGGTTTGAGAGTTGACATTTGCTGTTGAAAGTTCTGAAAAAAAAAAAAAATCATTAATTAACGCTTTGAATTAATGTTTTTATACAAACATTTTCTTGCCTATTCTACAAAATAATGGTTAAAAAAATGAACAAAAAGGATAGAACATACCAAAAAAAAATGAAAGAAAGACGTAACGAGTGATAGATAATTGAGCACAGTGATAGGCAATTATCAACTGTGTAGTCCTTTAAGAAAAAAGAAAAACAATTTTAATAGGTAGTAATTTGTCCATTCTGATAGTTCTTTTTTTGTATATATATATATATATATATATATATATATA